CAACACCATAGACTAGGCACCACTCAACCCATATTGTAGTCCGATAGCCAGGATATTGATAAGGGACAGGATGACGAGATCCTCGGCGTCTTCGATCTTCAACACCGGCCGCCAGCCACTCTGGCCTAATTCGGGTCGACGGTCGTTATCCCCGCGTCTAGCTATAATAACCGCGTCCGAGAACTCCATATTGCGCCCACTTCGATTTCCAGCGTTTGGTTCGCCTCCCGGGGGGGGGGGGGAGGTGGTCAATAATCCGAGCTGCGGTGGCGCATGGCACCCTGGCGTCCAGCAGCGGGCTCGGCAGCCACTCCTCCTGAGCCTCGCGGGAGGGAGAAATCGCCATCTCGAGGCCGCAGCGCATGGCCTGCAGCAACGTTCGTCTGAATCGCCAGTTCCCCGACTCGAAGTAGGCACACCGGTCAATCGGCTACGGTCCTCTCGGAATCATCCACAGGGGCTCGCTCACTTACGCTCTCGTGCCGTCTTCCTCATCTCTATCCTGATCAAGCGCCCGCAGAACCGGGGTATGAGCGAACAAATTTAGGCGTTAAGGATAAGTGGGCCGGTAAGAACGCAGAGAAAAGTCCGCTACCACCTAGTCTGACGCGAGATGGATTTGGCTGGGAATGTGTGATACGAGCCTGTTTGGAATTTGCCCAGCGGCAAGTCGTGAACTAAATGTGAAGATAGAAACGGGTTGAGATGGGAATTCATATTTTGGATAAATGTGCCATAAAACGATCCAAAACTGCGTTGCAACAAGGCATATTTCACTGCGACCGTTATGTACAAAAGCCTGATTCATGCATTGCACACAGTCACCTGCGACTGTGAAATGAATTGGAAAATAACTGAGTTAAAAGAACTTAGCGGGACAATAGCCGTCAAATTGTGTTTAGTTTTCACATGGCTGGTCATGCACCCATCGAGGGCGTGTTCTGCCAGCTTTCATCCGCAATTTACTTATTCCATTTGTTTGGCACGCAGTGACCTGGTTGAGTATGGTGATCTGAGAATATTTAGGCGTTCAGATATAACACAGAGATAATGGAGTGCATGTCATGGAAAATGCTTGTGCCTGTGTAGAAAATAAACGTAAGATATGCTTGCATTTTTCCCGACACTATTTTGAATGAGCAGTGGCCGGATCAACGCAGCTTATAAGATGTTCCGTACATATGCTACTCAAGTTGGTTTGGTCCTGTAAATTTTTCACGCGTTTACATGCAATCATTATGTCGTTACGTTCACAGTATGTAACTGCTGTTTGCATGCACACATTACTTCTACAAGGCACCATACCTCGGCTTAAGGCCAAGGCCTCCTGTTGAGCAGCAGACCTATCATAATGTATCATCCCTAGATCCATGCGTCGGAACACTTATCACAGTTAGAAGAATGCATGCCAGCGCGATGGAGGTCATGCTCTTTGAAACAAGGAACCTTTATTATATACTCGTCAAGAAGCGCACCGCCGGGTCCTTGTGCATATTACTGAGATCATGGAGTACCTACCTTGTTTTGACAGCGCGATTAATCGTCATGTTTGCGCTCACTTATTCTCCAATGCGTGAGAGCAGTACTCTTCGACATCTGTAACCATTAATGAGACATATATAATGCTGGTAATATCGTTTCCATAGAGTTGCCCTGGCTTCGCTTTTTTTGAATTATTACAGCGTTTTGCTGCTCTCAGAGGCATACTTTCTTGAAGGTGTCCTGCTTTAATCTTGGCAACCTTTAACAGGAAACCATGCACAACTAATGCCGTTAACTGACATGCTTCGGCCATCTAATCCCATCCATGTATCTTGACCTGACCTGTTCGAATAACCTGTCCCGGAAATTTGCTGAAGCCGATGTGTCATAGCCTAATGGTCATTTAGATGATTGAATGTATCACAGGCACCTTCTTCAATAATACGACAGCTACCAGGCAATGCAAATACTTTTGATTACCAGCGTTCTTGCATATGTGTGTTGCCGACATTAGTGAGGAAACGACTTGAGACTTTCTCGACAGGGCTAATCGTAACAGATAGTCAGGGACGGAAATACCAACCCCTCGAGAGTACAGAATGGTTTAGATGTGCAGCTCTGCCGAGTCTAACTGAATCGCCGTATGTCCCTGCCACGCTTTACCTGACCGCCGTGACCTACGTTCTCTAACCTGATGCAAATACCTGTATGCTCTATGTTATCCGATGGGGGCCCATATCATTTTGTGTCATTTGTGGCCTGGTCTAGAAAATTCGAAATGGTCCATGCGACCTGGCGACCTACATGGTCCAGGCTATCTCTACCACCTGGCCTGTGAGGCCTGACCTACAATCACGTGACAACAATCTATATGGCTTATTTTGACCTGTGGAGTGAAACTGCACTTGCCGGATTGGCACTAGATTTCCGAGGAAGTTACAAACTGTCATGCCTCTACTTCTACACACCTTGTTGAAAATGCAAAAAACGCCAAGGGAGGAAGGGGGCAGAAGCTGTGTTCCATTTATGCAACAACCGGGATGCTGCTCCGCATAACGCCGCAAGGAATACACGCGCTCGAGCCGTCTTCATCTTTCCTAGTGGCACATGCGGCTCGATAGTGCAGATCGCCAGTCTGACCAAAGCTCTGCCTTTAATCGTTCAGTACCCTCCGATCTCCCTGTTTCGTACACCACGCACGCCCGTCATCAAACGTGGCTGGGAACAGTCTGGCTTTCTCATGCCCTTCGAGTTCAAAATGAGGGGCTTCTAGCCCAAAATCAGAGGCTCCAAGCTCATAACGGGGCCCTCCTAGTACATAACAGAGCCACCTTGTTCATCACGGGGACCTGCTAGTTTGCCTTAGTTACATCTCGAGCCAGTGAACGGCCTCCTTACCACAAAATTGAGCCCCCTGATCTACCTAACTGGGACTATGCATGCGTGGACATGGACATGGATGTACGCACTATCTCATAGGAAGGTCTCATGATCCATCAGAAGGGCCTGTTAATGCAGAAAAGAGTTTTTTTGTCTGATTTAGCATCCTCCACCTCAGCTATGAGGGCAGCCTCGATCGGAATCTCGGTTAATCTATGTGGACCTTTGCTTGAGCACAAGGAACCTTCCCATTTTTTTCTGGGGGGCGGGGGGGCGGGCAAAAAATACTATTCATGCCCCCCACTGCTTACCAGCAGGGGCAAGCCCCCTGTGCCCTCCCCCATGCCACACCGCCCCCCGGGCACGCACCTGAACGCATACAGAAATGCCATGTGAACATCAATTAACATGATCATGACAGCAGTGATGAGCCATCCCGCACTCGACTATAATTACAAAACATGTTTAGAGGAGAGGTGACAGCTTGGGGTGATCGTGCCAATAACACATCCGTATATCCATTGTCCATGGTACCTATGACTGTTCAACCCACAAGGATGCTAGTTAAATCCCCGAAGTCTTTGTCAGTTTAGTTTGCATGCTAGGTGCAAAAAAAGTAAATCAATACTACACCTTTCCACAACACTGAGGTGCACGTGCGATGTGTATACCCTACCTATCCCGGCCTGATCCTCATGATATCTGCGTGACGTACAGAGGAGGGGTTGCACAAAATCAGCTGGGCAAATGGCTAAGCTACCCCCCCAAAAAAGCAAACATGTTTCTCTCTGAATTAGAAACATGTTCTTCTCAAAGTTGGAGCAGGCTTCAACCTTTCATCTGAATAGGTCACCACACCCCTGCTGACGTATATATCCTGCTTGACAACTGTACACAGCTCTGATCTGGACGGGCGTGACCTGCGTATCTATCTTCAGTCCCTAACAAGACAAACGCAAATTAGGCCTGCTTACTGAATTCTTAAATTGACGTCGCTTTCTTTCAATGGTTAATGAATTTGGCTCTAAAGCTGTTGTCATCATGTAGTTCATAACTGCAAGACGCCTTACATGGTCTTCAATTCTTTCTTGCAAAACGCACCTATTTTCTTAATCGATGTTACACCCAAACATCCTAATTTGATATAGACGCCGAGCTCGCGCTTTTCGCTAGAGCTTGAACCCTAAAGTCAAGATGACCTTTCTTGACATGTAGGGCCTGTGTGTCCTAAAAGTCCTGTGACCCCTGACCTGACCCGACCTGTTTGGCCTGTCTGCGCTGCATAAATAACCTCCGCCGCGCGGCAGGCAGGATGTCGCCGCCGCCGCGCTCCAGCGCCCAGCCGGGCGATGAGAAGGGTCAGGAGTCGGCGCAGACGCTGCGGCAGGAGACGGAGCAGGCGCACAAGCTGCTCAGGGACGCCAAGACGCTGCGTAGGGCCGTCGCTCATCTCCATCGACTCGGAGAACGAACACAAACTGGTCGAGGTGGGCTGGATGGTCGGATGGTGTGTGCCAGTCTTGTGTTCATTCCACGGGACTGGCGCCGTGAAGCATGAACTTATTCTGGGGAATAAACTGATCGAATGCGTGCATGTATGCACGCACGCATGCATAGCTGAAAGAATGTATGTAAGCATGCCAAATGAACGAGGGAAGTAATTCAGTGAATCAGGAGCGTCGAGCCAGACCTGGCATAATCCAGATAGTGAGATCATAGTAAAGCTTGTACACTTTCACCAGGAAGACATGAGCATCTAGCTTTCTCCTGGGACACATGATGCCATTGCTCATGTTTCTTACATGTCCAACTAGAAGTTTGGCACACTTCACGTGAAATCAGACGGACTCCGGCGAAACATAGATGGTGTAGAGCGCACGCATGGCGATACGCATGTCGGTTGCAATTATGGAAAGCCTAGCGCAATCAGATACTGAGCTCACAGAAGTAGCCAAACCGACCTTGTTCCCCAAACGGACAATAGAGCGCTGGATATAACCGGCGATACGCTCCCGTCCGCAGGTAAGAACGGGCTGCTGTGGCATGGACCCCACCACAGGACGGGGAAAGCAGCTCCACCTGATCCAGATGCTGCTGCTGCCCTTCATCCCCATCATGGCGCTCATCACGCAAATGTGGTCAACATGCTGACGGTGCTGGACCACCAGTACGACATGCAGGAGAGTATTGATCAGGTAACTGAGAGGAGAAATCGCACACCACAGCGCGGACCAGCGAACTAGCCGGTCTCGCTAGATGATTGGAAGTTAAACTGGCCGTCGTTCCGCTCATTCAAATGCGGACGAAGAGGTGTTGGAGGTGGTTGGATAATCTTCGTCTTAGAGGACGCGGTAATGCATTGTACAATCTCAGACACGATTTCAGGTGCAAATCAGTACCGACCTGGGCAACGTCACGGAAGCCCTGCAGTCTGAGCGCGCCGAGATCGCTTTCTTCCTCTTCACCAACGGCTCTGTGATCCGACGGAACCTCTCTGAGCACTTCCACTACACCAACATGCTGATCGATGACCTCAAATGGCCGCATTTCCGCATCGATGACGAGCTGTTCCAAAACAAGATCCTCTTCAGAATTCGACTAGACGACTTCCGCAACAAGATCGCTAAGTTCGACTTCGACGAGAAGTACTCGATAGAAGCTGGTATAGAGTTTTATAACAAAGCCAATTATATATTTTTAGACCAGGTAAGAAAGGCAAACTGTCATCATCTTCACCATATCAACTAACGCTGGACCAGAAATCAATCCTTGAAAACTGATTGCCTTGAAAAGGGTTCGCTCCAGGAGCGTGATTCTGGGTCTTCACTATTAAGTTTATATTGTATTGCTAACTTGTGCCGATCGGTTTCGCTGCGTACTGAAGCTCGCGACGTCTGTCAAAGCATTTGTCTCAGCTGGTTTGAGTTTGCCGTGCCTGCGGCTCGTTGCAGCTTACTCGGGAGATAAAAGGAGAAGGACGCCAGCGGGGTGTGGCGCCTGCTCTTGGCCTACAAGAACATGATCCGCGCCCATCGAGCATCTGGGCATCAGCATGGTGTTCGGCGAGCAGTACTACGGGCGCGGCGAGCTGGACCAGAGCAGCTACATCGAGTTTGTCACCAACGACGCGCTCGGGCAGGACTTCCTGAATCAGTCGCAGAACTTCGCCTATTGGATCAAGGATAGGTACATACGACTATGCACACTCGCTTTGTTTTCACAGTGCACTTAATTCAGGCTGCTATCTGTATTTTAGTCATTTGCCGAAAGCTATCATGGAAAATGCACAAACATCGAACGTGTGGGCGATGACAATGCAAAAAGACTTCCTGCTTTCTTTAAACATCAGAGACTTTCGTCGCACGAGTAAAACTGAAGAAGTAGTGTACTAGTGACACATAGGTACGATGTTATGCGCTCATTGGATTTCGTGCTGAGACACTTTCGATTGCCCTTTCGGTGCCTGAGGCTGCTAACATTGCCCGCGGGAACCGAATGAACATCCCTCGCGTAAACGAATCGGGCGCTTCTTTGACATTTAAGGTACGTGACAGTGCAAGACTCGTACCCGTGGTACTCGAATATCACAAGACGAAGGCTCGAGATTCTGATGAGAAAGAAAATCGAACCTGACTTTGACAAGGCCACCGAGTACTTCTATGCGATGCTGGGCTACCTGGATGCCCTAAAAAACATACAGTATGAACTAAGGTGGGTTTGAGAAAGATTGTGCAACATTATCTGTACGCTACAAGAGAAGACAACTGACTGCTACCCAGTTCAACTGCGCATTCATTCATCCATGCGGTGAAACGTGTTCCGTTTGCATTCGCATTGACTTTTTCAAGCGAGGTCAAACCTGCGGATCTCAAACCAGCTGAATGCCCAGAGGCAAGACCTGTTAAGCTCATTTTACGTCATCACATAGGATTTTGCCTCCGGTCCCGGGCTCTGTATTCCAGGGATCGCGTGGAGAAGCTGATCATGAACGAGATGCGGGACTCCAACAGCCAAGTGTTTCTGGGAATCGCCGTGCTGTGCATTGTGCTACTCATCTCACCCATCATCATCCTGTTGGTCCGGATGGTGACCCGCACACTCCAGGTGTCGTAACTCCGGTGTCAAACGGTTGCAGTGAGGTTACCATACGCCATATGATACGCCATTACCTACGCCATATGATTCCATTCAGATTCAGATTCGTTGTCTGGGGTGAGTGTGTGAAAGGCTGCGCAACAGGGATATATTTGGCGGTATTATTCGAGAAAACCATGATGGGTGACCAATGTTGCACGAGGTGTTGCTATGCTTACCGGCGCAATTGTAGATGCCAAAGCTATATACAAGGAACAAAGTTATATCAAGCCATATTTTCCCTGAACTCTGGGCTTGGGATCAATTCGGTTTATAATAGGTTCCACGAGGCGTTTTGCGTGCGCACCTCTCACTCAGCTTGGATATGCATTCTGTACCACCGTTACATTTAGTCGATCGTCGTATGCTTCAGGCATTTTCAGAAACATTGTTGCATAAAACACACGAACTTAAGTTCGAGAAGAAAAGGACCGACAAGCTGCTGTACCAGATGCTGCCGCCGACGGTGGCACAGCAGCTGAAGCAAGGAAAACAGGTGTCGGCCGAAACCTACGAGTCGGTCACCATCTACTTTTCTGACATCGTGGGCTTCACAGATCTGGCTTCTGAGAGTACTCTCCGATGCAGGTGATCGACGGGATCACGCCGCCGCGCATGCTTGGGCTACTAGATGAGGGGCTTGGACGTGGGCTGTGAGCTGAAGTCGGACTATACATACACACGCAGTATTTTTAGTTTAATTCCTACAAACCCTGCTCCACGTGGCGAACAATCAAAGTAAACATTAAAGAGTCTCGTTGTTTTATGACACACTCTGCTCGTAGTCCTATATCTTCCATGCTTTGTCACCCCTCCCATTTTGATCATGAGGTGGAAGCTCTTTGTGTTCCAGCACATGCGCCGTGAGTCTAACCGAAAAGTGTATGCTTGCGTGTGTAATTGGAGTGCATCACAATGCACTCGATCTCCACAGGTTATCTCACTGCTGAACGCGCTGTACCGCATGTTCGACTCGCGGATCGACATGTACGACGTGTACAAGATGGAGACGATCGGGGAGGTGTACATGGTAGCCTCGGGCGTACCGCAGCGCACCGGCAAGGACCACGCCTCCGAGATCGCCTCGATGGCGCTGAGCCTGCTACACGGCGCCGAAAACTTCGTCATCTCACACATGCCCGGC